TTAAAATCAACAAAATGTTCTCAAACATAATTAAGAAAATACAAATATCAAATAATTCCTTTCATCCAATCTACTCCAGCAAGTTGATTATTTGACCAAGATTTTTCAATTTTAATACCAAGACTTAAACTGTATTTGTAGAGCAATTTTTGTTTATTAGTAAGATCGCATTGGATCTACTACTACTACTTTAAATAAAATATCCAACAAACTTTTTGCCAAATAGTAAATATTTGGGGATTTGTGTATTTAGAACACATACTTCTTATCTCATTTAATTTCAAGGAATCTTGAACATAAAAAGAATCTGAAATTTGAGGAAACTATGTAATTTGTCTCAAGCATTTTTAAACTTGATTATTTCAAGTTTAAACTTAAAAATGTAATTTCTAAAAACATATTTAGACTTCAAAATCTATTATCTTGAGAATCAATGAATATTTTACAAAAATATTTTAGAATTAAGCTTTCAGTATGAATGGTAACAAAATATTAAAAAAATATTAATTTTAGAGGAGGTCACTATTAAAAATTTGTATTTTTGACTGATTCATACGAAAAATTGCACTTTATTAAAATTAAAATTAAAACATTAATAAAAACTCAATAAAGTTACAAACTTGTCAACAGCAAAAATGCAACAAAAATTAATGTAGCAACAAAACGAATAACATGAAAAGTTACTGGTAACAAATGCTTTAAACCATTCAAAAGTTAAAATTGATTTAAATAGGCTAAATGATTTTATGAGTACCAATGCTCAATATTATATCATATTATATATATATATATTATATTTTATTATATATTGAACAACTTAATAATGCTCATTTGTATATGTTTGCACAGAGCTCACAGCATCAATGACACTCGAGTAAATGGCAAGAAAGAGTCCAAAGTGAAGAAACCATAAAGTTAAGTAACCGAAGTGGTTAGTGCACTGCAATTCTGAAGTGCATCAAGGGGTTCAAACTCTTTCAATTGCACATGTAAACTTTTTTTAACCTTTTCCAATTTTCTAAAATAAAAAACATCTTAAGTTACATCATGAAGTTTTTTTTTAAATACAAAATAAAACAATTTTGCTCTATAGAAACATTTTTGACATCTATAGATGTCATGATATATACTTATGTTATTAATGTGCTTAGGTAATAACTTAAGTCTGTGAGTTTAACACACATTAAAGAGACAACATTCTTTGTTAAAAGAAAAAAGATTTTACATCCAAACTTTTAGTTTTTTTAACATTAATTAAAGGGACGAGGGTCCTAATAAGCTGTAGACAGTTTAAAAAATATTTAATAAAAACCTAGTAATGAAACTTAATTAAGAAAAAAATTAATAAGCTCGTCCCATCTTTTTAAAAAAGTTTACAATTTTACAATAAGAAGTTATAAAGTAATTTTTTACTTTTATGTTAATTCACCCAATCCCTAAAACCGAAAAAGCAATACAATAGAAAAAGCTATTTTAATTTCCTTTTTTGTGTGTGTGCGTCTTTTATATAGTTAGAGGTGCCTTAGTTACTGTGTTAGCTCACCTCTAACTTACTATGGCGCGGTGTTCACTTACCTGTATGTTACTTATGTTTGTGTTCTGTCTGATTCACCCATATGTTACTTTACTATTGCTTTGTTTTTTTAAACATTTCCAAAAAGGCTGCAAGCAACCACTATTAGAATTGAAAGTTACTGAATAAGAAAAGGTGAAGTTTATTAAGCAAGATAACGATTAACAGACAACTTTAAAGATTGTAAATTTTATGAATCAGGAAAACATGATGAAGGGAATGAATTCCAAAGAACTGATATTTGAGGAAAAAAGCTAGATAAATAAGAATTTTAGAAACAATTAGAAACAGTTTCAGTAAAAGTATGAGACTTAATTGAATGACAAGTAACACAAGAATGAATTTTAGTAAAATGCACAGGTGACACAAGTTCTTTAGAGCAGTAAACATAGTATTTATAAAATAGAGAAAGAGAAGCAATATTATGACAATGAGACAATGATTGAAGATTGGCTGCAAGAGCAGGTTACACTATATTTACAATGCATATTTGTACCTTTTCTAAAAGAGAAAGGGCATCATTTGCAGATTCCCTCCAGATATAGGAACAGTATTCCATACAAGGATGGGTTTGAGACTTATAGAGATAAAGATTAGAATACAGAGTAAGAAAGTGGCAAGCACAATAAAGAGATACAACCTTAGCAAATGCTAATTTTGCAATGGATTTGATATGTGGCTTCTAAGAAAGATCAGAAGTAAGAGATAATCCTAGAAGACAAAGGGTAGATGACTCATCAAGTACATTAACATTCATGATTATAGGAAGATCTTTATAAAATGTTAGGAATTGCTTAGAGCAATAGCCTAACCCTCTCCACATCTATCTAATGTACGATAAAGCATATCAGTTATAACTATTAACAAATCAGCAGTAGAACAAGAAGATCAAAATCCATACAGATGATCGGAAAATAGATTATTATATTCAAGATGAGAGATTCAGTGTTTGTAAATTAAAGACAACATTTATTCATTAGAAGAACATTCACAAAAAAATTACCTAAAGAGTTCTTGTTACCTTAATGGTAGTTGTAAAAAAGTACGATAATAGGGGGATTCTGATGATAAAGAAGGAGGTAATAGTTTTAGAGAGATCAAACCAAAGAGATCCTAGTCATTGCTCATCAAAGAGATGAGCACTGACTAGGATCAGAAACAAGACATAAGTCGAGTAAAGATGGTAAATGATTCAGATTACACAAATCACCCGAAACATGGGAATATTCGAACCATGCGTCCTAAAATTTTTCAAAAACCTCTTTGGCATATTAAAAAGAAAAGTTAGCACATAAAATTTCAGCTAAAAAAGTTGAGTGGTTGACAAGATACAGCAATTTTAAAAAACCGGGTTTTTTTTTTTTTTGCTAATATTTTCAGCTGTTTATAATCTTAATAGGCACAAAAAATCTAACTAGAAAAACAACTGAAACATATAGAACAAGATATATCAAATTTTCAATTATATGTTATTTAAAAAAACTGTAAAATATAAAATTTAGTTTATAGACTCCTTAGAAGAAAAAAACAAAACAATTTTGTTATATTTAAGTAAGTCTTAATTATATGATAACTTAATTATTCAATCTTAACAACTGAAAAAAATATCCTGTTTTGTTTTTATATAAAAACTGACCAAGCGTGATATTGATGTGCATTTGTTTTTAAAATTTTGACAACTATAGTTTGTAAAAGTTTATAAAAACTAGTTTATAAAAAGTTCAGTTATAGAACAACATTTATTGGTAAAATTTTATATAAATTGAAACAAATTAACAATTTGATATATATAGATTGTATATATATAAATAAATCTATAAATAAAATTAACAATATCTATCAGAGTAAAACATACAACAGAAGGATTCTTAAAAGGTTTGAATTATTTCTATACTAAAAACCTTTTTTTTTTTTCATACTGAAAATTAAGTAGAAAAGAAGAATTTTCTTTTTTTTTAGGAAATACATTCATACTAAGTAACTTATCTTAAGGTGTGTTTTATAGGCTTCATGACATTAGATACGTGCGAAGGTCAAAAAGATGCTATTGAAACTTTAAGCAATGAAGAAAAAATAATTTTAACATTACTGTAACATTGAATTATCAAACTTAACAATATTATGTGAAAGACATACTACAAAATATTTGAAATTGTATTCTATAAGGCAGAAAGCTTGTTGTGATCCATTTAATAAACAAAGAAAATCACAAGTAGATGAAAATCTTAAATATTTTATTATAATTACTTTTTAATTTGTATTTTCCAAAACATAAAACAAAGTTTTAAATAATTGTGCAGATAAGCTTTATACAATTCAATTACTTTTAAACAATCTAGTTATGTATACAATGTAAATGTAGTTTAAAAGAAGTGCAAATACATGCATCAAAGGACTAGACTGAGCTGTCAAGCCCAAGTGATATAAGGAAAAAATTAGGAAGAGAAAAAGGATACAAAAATTAAAAAGATATTTGAACAGATGTTCAGAACAAAACAAAGACACTATAGTAAAGCATATATTAAAAAAATAATAATAATAACGATAATATGGACATTGCGCATATAATGTTATGATACAATTATAAACAGCAGATGTCACCTCATATTAACAAATGTTCAAAAAAAATAAAAAATAAAATAAAAAAAAATAATAATAATAATAATAATAATAATGAAAATCTAAACAAGCGCTAAAAATAATTGGTGTAAGAGGTATAAGAATGTTGGTACCATAATAACCAAAAAGAATTAAGTAGTGAATATGGTGATTCCCCTCCTCAGGAATGCACTGCAATCACCAATGACGTTTCGGGGAGCCTGAGACCTGCACTAACACCACTCGTCAGGGGTGTGTCCTTACAACAGGGGTGTGTCCTTGCAAAAATGCAGTTATATATATAATTATACAATTCAATTACTTACTAAAAAATTTTAGTTTTGATAAATGAGTCACAAGTCATGATGAGAAGTAGTTTGAATATTGCTTCTGGGAAAAAGCTTTGCAAATCTTGTAAGCAAAAGTGAAATATTTAATATTACTAATTTGTATAATGTTTGCTTTAATGCAATTGGTAATGAGCTGTTCTATTTTATATAGAAAGTATACACCATGTTCAATTTCATCAGAACAAAAGCAAAATGACTTAGATATTAGTTTACCATTTGATTTATAGTATATAATAATAGGATGAAGTGTACATTGTGGTTTATTTCAGTGGTAACTATGCACCTCATGAAAAAAATCATTTTATTGTTTTTTTACAACTAAAAAGTTGTTTATAATAACTCAAACCTTATACTTCAGAACTTAATAACTCAAATTTCATGATTTTGAACTTAATAATTCAAATTTCTTAGTTTAAAATTTAGAAAGAATCAATGCTGCTTAAAAATCAAACTATATATTAATACTGTCATCTACCAACCTACAATGATGCTTAATTGATGTCCTTTGATGTAGATCCTTTGGTGATCCTTTACACTGATCCTTAGTTATTTAGTGTGATTTACTAAACACAATATTAAAAAATAAAAACACTTACTCATAAACACCTTTTTGGATATAAAATATAATAACTAAAACTATTTTAAAAATAAAAAATTGAACTTGATTGTGATCTATGTTTTCACACTTTAAAAACATACCACATAATAATTGTTATTTATTTTAAATAGCAAAAAATTGGAAATGAAGTTTATAAAAGAACTTTTTTAAATATGTCCAAATCCAAATAACTAAAATGTGACACACACATAAGACTTTTTTCATATATTATTAACACTGAAGATAGTTATTAAGTGAGATAAAATATACTAAAAAAATTTTAATGTAAACCTGTTCGAGTTAGTTTAAACCTGCTTGAGTCAAACCTTGGAAGTGTATCAAGAAAATTTTAAATTTGGCAGTTAAACAATAACAAGCATACATTCCAAATTATATCATATTACACTATAATAATAATAAGTGAACATACATTCATCTAATATTGCTCTGTAATTGTTAATAATACTATGTATTAAGCTGTAATATGGTATGAATATGAATGTATGCTTCTTATTTTTTAGTTTTGTCAAATTTAATATTTTTTATTATAGTATAAATTATACTATAATAAAAAATATTAAATTTAAAAAAAAATCTCCCTTTCTTTTTAATTATACTATAATTAAAAAAAAAGGGAGAGGGGAATATAATACATTAATGTAATAAATATAATGCATTATATTTATGATAAGAATGTGTTTATACAAATATAATAAATAATATCTTATAATATCTTATAAATTAAATTTATACTTATTATGACATTATATATAATACTCAGTATAAATTTAATTTATAAGATATTATAAAATATTATTTATAATATTAGTATAAATACATTCTTATCATCTAAATATAATGGATATCATCTAAATATAATAGACATTTAATGCTAATAGTGACTATTAGCTTTAATTGTCTATTATATTTAGTACTCGATAGATGTTATTTTTAATACATTACTTGACATCAAAGAACATTACTAAGCACTGTGCTCAGTGGTTAGAACAAGAAAATAAAACGTCTTCAACGCTTATAATCATAATGTTAAAATGTCACATGTCATACTTTTAAAATTTGATAGTATGATTAGCAAGTAGGTCCCGGATTTGAAGACGTTTCATTTTCTTGAGAAGTCCTGAAAAAACAAAGTTTATCATTTAGAGGGCACATAAAACATCAACATTGCAAAACGGGTGATGGCAAACAGGGGCGGATCCAGCATTTTTTTGTCATTGAGATAGATAACTTCTATACATGGAGCAAACTCCAAAAATTTATATGTTTATACTTATGTCAAATAAGAATGGTTTGCAAAAGATTGTAAACCATCCTTATTTGACATAAATTTTAAATTTCATAGTAAAATATTTAAGTGCTCAAAAATTATAACTATATAAAATTTGTAGCCCGCGGAAATTGAGGGGGTTCAATTTATCAATAAATATGTCTAGTAGAGAATAGTGCAAAAATATTTTGTCAACAAGTTGCTCTCACGTTTGGGACAAGGACGTCTCAAATTTTGGGGCTTTTTGTTCCTAGGCTCCAATCATCGCAATTTTTTGCAAACCATCCTTATTAGACTTAAGTCCGAGTATGTAAGACGTTTAAAACGTATTAATACGAGTTAATACGTTTTTTATTCGTCTTAAATATGTCTTGTGCCCACAGGGGTATAAACATAAATTTTTGGAGTTTGCTCCATGTTTAGAAGTTATCTTATCGCAAAGATAACTCGCAAAAACCAAAAAATGCTGGATCCGCCCCTGGCAAAAGTACAGCTAATAACGCTGATAATATTCTTAAACTGTTAGCTCTATTAACCAAATATGATCTTACTTTGGACAATCATCTTTGGTATGAAAAAAGGAATGAACTGTATTTAAGTCATGATGGACAAAATGATTTAATTCAATTACTTGCTTCTGAAATTTTATCCATAATCAATGATGAAGTTAAAATAACCCAGTTTTTTTCTATTGATTCAACTATTGATATTTCTAGAATTAATCAGATGCCAGTTTCATTACGATTGGTTTCAAAATCAGATAACGTTATGGAAAGATTTATAGGCTTCTATACTACAGAATACAGCAACGCTGTAGCATTTGCTGAGTTAATTATACCTGAGCTTGAAAAACGAAACATCGATATTAAACTCTTCTGATATGTCTGGAATTAAAAGTAGTCTTCAAATTTGGATAAAAGCGCTTTCACCAAATGCCATCTATGTTCATTGTTGGGCTCATGTTTTGAATTTGGTGACCATCGAAGCAATGTCTGTAAACAGCGATGTTTGTTGTTTTTTTGGCACAGCTGAAAAGTTGTAAACATACCTTACGTCTAGTTTACCACAACTTCATATTCTCCAAGAACACCAGAAACGTTTAAATAAATCAACAGTTGACACTCTGAAACAACTTTCTGATAAAAGATTGGCAAGCAGGAAGCATGCAGATGATGCTGTTGTTGAACCTTTTTTTGCTATTCTAGCCGCTCTAGATGATATAAATCTAGTAGAGTCCAAAGAACATATTGGGAGTGTTAAAGCAGAAGCTATTGCACTATCAGTTTTAATAAAAAAAAGCGCTCATTTGTCTTTCTTATAGTTTTTCTACAAAATTTGATAAAAAACCTTTTTGTGTTATCAAACTATTAGCAACAAAAATATTATTTGCAAAACATTTGATGTTACAAAAAAATGTTTGTCCATACGAGAAGTGAACTTTCAATTTTTTTCATTTAGCAGTCAAATCATTTGTTAGTGAAAAATGCGATAGATGTAGAAACTAAATTTAAAGAAAGGCAAGTTGCCAATAAGAAACGCATGGCTGGAGAGCTGTTGAGTCAATGATCCAACTGCACGCTTTAAATATAAAACCTACTTCAATGTTTTGGATAAATTTATAACCCAAAAATAAATAAATAACTTCAAGACTTTAGTAACACAGTTACACATTTTGATTGCAAGAATCCGTCAATATTATCTGAGACAAATATAAATTCATTTAAAAATTTATGTGAAACTTATTGTAACGACGAAGAAGCAGTCGTAAAGTATGAGACTTCCAAAGATGTGTATGCATCGATATCTTTATCACTGACAACTGATCTACAAATGAAAGACGTGCTTCCATTCTTGGTTGAAAAACAAATGGCACCCGGTCTCCCTAACTTGTCTATACTTTACAAAATCTACTTGACTCTACCTGTTACATCTGCTAATGCTGAGAGAAGTTTTAGTAAACTAAAGGTTACAAAAAACTATCTTAGATTAACACTGACAAACGAACGTTTTTCTGGATTATCATTAGTTTCTATTTAACGTGAGCATGCTGAAGGCATTGACTTTGACTTGTATATAAATTGTTTTGCTTTAATAATATCTTGCAGAAAAACATTTTATAAACTGAAAAGTATCTTTCTTTCTTAATGCTTACTTTTGTAATTTGTCTAGTTAATACATTTTTAAATAACTGAACTATTTCATTAATATTAAATGTTTCTTATTTTATAAAAGATAATTGTTAACTAAAATGAACGAAATAAACTCAAAATTCAGGTTGTTTAGTGCTTTACATGTATGTAATAGTTATGATAAAAGTCATATAAAACCACCTATAAAATGTTTTAATCATAGATGCGATCTTCTGGGGTTTAAAGTACCACACCCAACCTTGGTTACCCTCTACTCATTGGCTTGCCCATCCCCCACCCCTTCCGCGACACTAAATCTCAATCTGCCACTTTATTTAATAAGAGATTGCAGCAGTTTTTTAGTTGTTTAAGGAAGATTTTAAGGGGGTTCTAAATTTATTTTAAGGGGGTTCTAAATTTATGCGGCTGTGGCGCAGTAGTTAGAGCGCTTGCTTTATAAGCAACTCTGGACATCGGTAAGGAAGGAGGCGTGATCTTCCAATTTAAATGCTCATCCGTGGTGCTTTGTGACAAGACCTTAAGATCTTCTTGGCGTACCTAAAACAAAAATTAAAAAAAAAAATTTTATAGTCAAAACTTTCAAACTCTAAAATTTTTGACAAAATTTGAAATCTCGTGTTAAATATAAATTTAGTTTAAATTAATGATAAAATAAAACTCAGAAAAATATTGCTCGCGCATTCAGGGTTGGGCAGAAAGGGGGGTTTAATAAAATAAAGGAACTTTGTCGTTTCCAGGTTCCAATCAAAGCAATTTTTCTTAAGCATTCTTATTTAATACCTATAATAAACATGTCCACATTTGAATTTTGCTCTGTCTATTTTTTGATTTATCTATTTATTTATTTTTCTTCAGGTATAAAATATAAAGATACAGTTATTATCGTGTAAAAAAGAAAAAGTATATACAAAATTATAACGTATCAGAATAAATTAGTAAAGTATTGGTACAAACTTTAATTTAAATTTTGGTATAATAACTGTTAAATATATTTTTCCGAATTATAAAACCTAAAAAAAATTTCCGTAAACAGCCCCATTTGGCATATATCTATGTCTTTGTAAAAAGTTAATTAAAAAGCTATAACTTTTTTGTAATTAGCTTTGTATTTACTATTTCCCCTGTTTTTATTTTTTCAATATTCGATATTCTATTTAAGCCTTTCAGTTTTTGATTTTTCAAGTTTTACTATGTTTTTGGACCTTGTGACATAATTGAAAATTCAGAATACCGGGTTTTAGTTTTTTTAATTTTATAGTTGTGGAAACTATTTGATCACAAATAATAACTTTGAAAAAGTGATGTGGAAAATATGTCTAAAAATGAATCCGTTAGCATATTACTTCTATATTTAAATATAAAAATAAGAATTTGATATAAATTATGTTTTTCCAAGTTTAAGACTTTTATATTTGTCATCATAGAAGGATTGTCCATTCTACTAAGATAATAAACTGCTCTACAAGTATGGTTTTAAAAACCTTTTAGTTGGATTAATTTTGATTTGTGTGTGTTCCCATGAAAAAA